ACCATATGATATCAGCCGTCACTAAAACCATACCATGTCAGCCGTCACTAATACCATATCATATCAGCCGTCACTAATACCATACCAGTCATAACTAATACCATATCATATCGGCCATCACTAATACCATATGATATCGGCCACCACTAATACCATATGATATCAGCCGTCACTAAAACCATACCATGTCAGCCGTCACTAATACCATATCATATCAGCCGTCACTAATACTATATCATATCAGCCTATGTGTTCTTAAATTCCTGTAGCTCTAGCTATCTTCTCCCTCTAGTACCTACCCCACAGTGGCACAGCTGTAAGTCTGCAGCTTTAAAGAACTACAAATTGGGTTTCGATACCCATGGTGGGCATAAGACATATAGCCCATTATGTAGCTTTGTGCTTATCTACAAATAAAAAACCTCTGTTACCAAATCCTCCAAAAATAAAAAAAAGTTAACAAAGCCATACATAATGTGTTATATATTCTATGGTTAGTATCTGATCACCAAATCTTGGAAAATTGAATAATAATAGCAAGAAATCTAATCATTTTATTATTCTTGTGTGTGCTGGGATAAAGTCTAAGCCTAAATTAAACACAAAAACTGTTTTGTGTATGATGCACAGTAAGAGAATACATATGCTTTTCTTTTTCAAAATATTTCCAGCTCCATACCCTCCTCTAATTCTGGATACATTATCTTTGTTGTATTTACAGTTCTCTCCTTGTTTCTTCTAACATACTTAAATCAGCAGTTTTCCAGGAACCCCCAAAATATACTGAAGATGAAGAAAATTAAATACTGTAGTTCAGCTCACTATACAAGAGATTTTAGTATTTACAATCTTGGACATTATTCAAATTAAGCTACAGTCACATGAGCTGTTTTAACAATATATTCCTGTACTTTCACAACCAGGGAATGATAAGTTGCTACAAGTGTTGAGGGTAGCTGGACATAATCAGCTTGTGTTAGGTATCTACATATAAAATAGATGAAAATATGTATTCAAACATAACTAAGTATTTGTGTATTTTAAAAAATGTACATATCATAAAGATCAGCTTGTAAAAATAACTTGCTATATCTTAATATTAATAGCTGTATTTTTTTTTAAGTCTTAAAGTTTGGAGCTTATTAACATAAAACCAAAACATATTTGTGTATTGATAACATCCTACTATAAACTGTGAAGTTTGAATTGTACAAACACATCACCTAGTATTTTCATAACATCCTAATGGATAGCGTATATTAGTTTTATCCTGTACTTGTGTACCGGATATTACTTTTCTTGTAGTATTAGAGTGATGTCCTAGGGATATTCTGGTAATATGTATGGTACTGGTAAGTTTACATTATTTACTTCAATTACTTGGACCAATACTTCAATCCTATAGACAGTTTATATTATGGTAAATAAATATGGGAAGAAATGGCACACACACAGTCAGTAACCTTTACCAACAGTAAGTGACTGGATTAGTACATATTGGATCAGTAACCTTTACCAACATTGAGTGTCTGGATTAGTACATTTTGTATCAATAACCTTCACCAACAGTGAGTGACTGGATTAGTACATTTTGGATCAGTAACCTTCACCAACAGTGAGTGACTAGATTAGTACGTATTGGATCAGTAACCTTTATCAACAATGACTGGATTAGTACGTTTTGTATCAGTAACCTTTTCCAACAGTGAGTGACTGGATTAGTACGTATTGAATCAGTAACCTTTACCAACAGTGACTGGATTAGTATGTATTGGATCTGTAACCTTTACCAACAGTGAGTGACTGGATTAGTACGTATTGAATCAGTAACCTTTACCAACAGTGACTGGATTAGTATGTATTGGATCAGTAACCTTTACCAACAGTGAGTGACTGGATTAGTACGTATTGGATCAGTAACCTTTACCAACATTGAGTGTCTGGATTAGTACATTTTGGATCAGTAACCTTCACCAACAGTGAGTGACTGGATTAGTACGTATTGGATCAGTAACCTTTATCAAAAATGACTGGATTAGTACGTATTGAATCAGTAACCTTTACCAACAGTGACTGGGTTAGTATATATTGGATCTGTAACCTTTACCAACAGTGATCGGATTAGTATGTATTGGACAGTAACCTTCATCAACAGATTAGTGTGTATTGGGTCAATAACCTTTACTAATAATGGATGTATTAGTATGTATTGGATCAGTAATCTTTACCAACAGTGGATGTATTAGTATGTAACCCTTACCAACAATGATATTTTTAAGATTTCTGAGCTAAATAACTAAATAATTCTAATAGTTGGACAAAGGTCGATCCTTCTCCAACTTACAAAATTGTAATGGACTAAAGAATTAACAGTAGAAATGATGAGGGAAGGTTATACACATTAAGTGTAATTATTTTAAAGAGTGGCCTAAATTATTCTCAGAATTACTAATTACACAAATTATGTTGCTGTTTACCGGGTATGATACTTTTAAATAAATGTACGTCTGAAACGGTTCAGTTTCTTTAACTTGCTCTAAATGTTGTCTGGGAAGTGGCTTCTCTTCCT